TTTTTATGACCATACCTAACAAGAAACAAAACATGATTACATTAGAATTAAAATCTTTTTAAAATCATGTTTGCGGCCGATTTCTTGAAACAGTTCCATATACAGTCACGATGTTCACGAAATATTGTATCTATCCCCTCAAAAATAATTGCTTCTTTCGTATTTCTTTTCTTAAACTCTCTTGTTTACACATGATTGAACTAGGAATGATACATCCTCGATTATCGGGGGTATTATATTTCAATTTTATTACAATTAATACCGTGGACACAGTGACGTCGGTACCGCCATCTTAACTATCACTGCCCTTAGCACATTTGTTTTGTTTTAAGATAATTTGAATGGGCGGTTATTTATAGACTGGGGTTTAACACGAAGCGAAAGGGTCCAGGGTTATTTATCATTATAGAATTCAGACATACTGCCCTGGATAATCGAGGATGGGAGAGATATTATCGTTGTTGTGTTGCAGACAAAGGTATTTATTCTGCTCTTTATGTGCGTATGAGATTGTCCCTCGAGATGTAGGAGTCAAATTAACACAAGTGAGCGATGGTGTTTGAGTTAGGTCCAACGTCACTTCAAAATATAGGTGTGTTGGGTGTGTGAGGTGTGTAGGGTGTGTCAGTTGTGTCGGGTGTGTGAGGTGTGTGAGGTGTGTCGTGTCAGATGTATGTGTGTTATGTGAGGTGTGTTGTGTGTGTTGTGTGTGTGAGGTGTGTTGTGTGTGTCAGTTGTGTCGGGTGTGTCGGTTGTGTAGGGTGTGTCAGTTGTGTGAGTTGTGTGAGATGTGTGAGGTGTGTCGGATATGTGAGGTGTGTCGGGTGTGTGGGGTGTGACAGGTGTGTTGTGTGTGTCGAGTGTGTTTGGTGTGACAGATGTGTCAGGTGTGTCGTGTCAGATGTGTCAGGTGTGTTATGTGAGGTGTGTAAGGTATGTGAGGTGTGTTGTGTGTGTGATGTGTGTGTGAGGTGTGTGAGGTGTGTTGTGTGTGTCAGGTGTGCGAGGTGTGTTGTGTGTGTGAAGTGTTTGAGGTGTGTTGTGTGTGTGAGGTGTGTGTTGTGTGTGTTGTGTGTTAGGTGTGATGTTTGTGTTAGGTGTGTCGGGTGTGTGAGGTGTGTTGTGTGTGTCAGGTGTGTTGTGTGTATAAGGTGTGTTGTGTGTGTGAGGTGTGTTGTGTGTGTGAGGTGTGTTGTGTGTGTGAGGCGTGTTGTGTGTGTCAGGTGTTTTGTGTGTGTCAGGTGTGTGAGGTGTGTGAGGTGTGTTGTGTGTGAGGTGTGTGAGGTGTGTCTGATATGTGAGGTGTGTGAGATGTATGAGGTGTGTTGTGTGTGTCATTTGTGTCGGGTGTTTCGGTTGTGTAGGGTGTGTCAGTTGTGTGAGGTGTGTGAGATGTGTGAGGTGTGTCGGATGTGTGAGGTGTGTCGGGTGTGTGGGGTGTGACAGGTGTGTTGTGTGTGTCGAGTGTGTTTGGTGTGACAGATGTGTCAGGTGTGTCGTGTCAGATGTATCAGGTGTGTTATGTGAGGTGTGTAAGGTATGTGAGGTGTGTTGTGTGTGTTGTGTGTGTGAGGTGTGATGTGTGTGTTAGGTGTGTGAGGTGTGTTGTGTGTGTGAGGTGTGTTGTGTGTGTCAGGTGTGCGAGGTGTGTTGTGTGTGTTGTGTGTGTGTCAGGTGTGTTGTCTGTGTGAGGTGTGATGTGTGTGTTAGGTGTGTCGGGTGTGTGAGGTGTGTTGTGTGTGTGAGGTATGTTGTGTGTGTGAGGTGTGTTGTGTGTGAGGCGTGTTGTGTGTGTCAGATGTGTTGTGTGTGTCAGATGTGTTGTGTGTGTCAGGTGTGTTGTGTGTGTCAGGTGTGTTGTGTGTGAGGTGTGTGAGGTGTGTCTGATGTGTGAGGTGTGTGAGATGTATGAGGTGTGTTGGATGTGCCAGGTGTATGAGGTGTGTCAGGTGTATAAGTTGTGTGAGTAGTGTGAGGTGTGTCAAATCCAGGATGATAATATGATTGGATTTGAACTGAAACGTCTTAAGGAGGAGTCCATTCTCGTGAGATTTCGTTGGTTATATAGTCCGTCTTGGGGGACTATTAACCCACTTAATCACTCTGTCTCCTTCGTTTGAGTTTAAAACATCTTGTGGGAGTTCTAACGTCCAAACACCTACACGAATAGACTGGAAAAAAAGAGATTACACGCACGGATCTGTTTAAAATCAAAAATATCATTCAGATACCATTACTTAACCTATTACCGAATTCATGATGAAATGAAACAATATCAGAGAGTTATCTATTTCCAGATGACAGGACAACTTTAACCCTGTGGCATTTCACGAACTAACCTAATCAGCTCGAGGCCAATGTCCTCTGTTTTACCATTTGAGCTCATGAGACACGTCTGGGATTTGTGAACTCGAAAAATGCCGTACCTTAAAAACCTAAGGATTTCATTAATTTAATATGTATGAATGGAGCTGAAAAAAATAAAAGAATATTTAAGTATGGCGCAATTGCATTCCCTGGAAAACTATTGCGGTAGATACGTAAGAGTTGTGACGAGATTGTGGTATTCGTCTCGCGTCAAACGCTCGAGTTCTGTAATCCAGACACTTAAGCTTGAAACCGAATCTTAAAACCCTCAAGACGTATTGACGTCATGTCGGGGAGGTGCCTGGTGCAATCCTTGTCATCTGTTGTACAGGCGGTGAGGAATATAGGATACAACACCGTTAACGCCAATTCTTTTAACATATCGTTTTAGACGAAGGAACTTTCTTTTCCGGTACAATCCTTATGACTTCGCTTGTGTCGAGCTGCGGCTAATTCGATATAAACTGCCGCGGAAAAAGGATGACTGTATACAACAATGTTTGATGGTGCTACAACAAGAAATGGTTATTCCATGGTTATATATTTGATACGGGTATCACAGTTGTGTTTTGGTCGTTAAGTTAATAGTTTTTCGGCGACTGTTTTTGATAAAGTATGTATAGTAAAATAGTATTTAAGTTTTGACCATGGTACGTTAATATTTAATTCTCCTATGACGAGACCGCTTCTGTGGTCAAGTGAATAGAGAGTGTCTCCGGAGAACGGAGAGTTTTTCAAAGCACTGGCCACGTCATTCCAACAGACTTTAAAATATGTTACTTGTTGTTACCCTGCCTGGCGCTCGGCGTTAAGGGGCTAAAACAAGGACTGGTATTCTCGGAGTCAGTATACTGTGTCTGAGTGGGGTATTCAAGTCAAACTGTGGCATGTCAGTGAGCAAGCACTATTAAAACCGGCATTAATAAGTCCGGACCAGCATTTCGCAGCCACACATATAAGCATGCACGTCGCTATGTAAGTGCAATATTCTTGAACGCGACGTTTATCCCCCATTTCACCTCACCTCTTGCTACATTCAATGGAAATATCAATTGACAGCCTTCACCGATGTTCAGTGGGTACTGCGCAGTTGGGCATCTTCCTCACCGTGAAGGTAGTATTACGTTCGATTGTACCACGTTAATTGTGTCGGACACATCCCACTACGGCGACTGCAGGTTGATCCGGCGATGGTGCTGGTGAATCTCAAGATCAGGTTGTTTAGCGTGGATGTTTCACGTCTGTGCTGCTGTTGTTGTGGTTGGGGTTGCGTGGTTGGGGTTTAATGCTCTAGAAGTCATGAGTTCGTGGTTGCATATACCAGGTGTGGTCAGGGGTAATGGGTTTAACATTAATGCACGCATACAGAGACGTGCATGCAAGTGTGTGTGTGCGTGTGTTTGTGTGTGTGCGTGCTTGTGTGAGCGTGTGCGTGCGTGCGTGCATGCTTGTCTGTGTGTGTATATGTGTGTGTGTGCGTGCGTGCTTGTGTGTGTACGTGTGTGCGTGCGTGCGTGCGTGCTTGTGTGTGTATGCGTGTGTTTGTGTGTGTGCGTGCTTGTGTGTGTGCGTGCGTGCATGTTTGTCTGTGTGTGTATGTGTGTGTGCGTGCGTGCTTGTGTGTGTGTGTGTGCGTGCGTGCGTGCGTGCGTGCGTGCGTGTGTGTGTGTGTAGAGATGTTTGTACAACTCCAAACTAATGCCAGTTTATAGTGCTAGCCCACTGAGAAACCCTTCCGCAGTTTAACATGGCTTCCCAACTCAGACACAAGTCCTAGTTTTATCCCGTTAATGCTGAGCGTCAGGCAGGGTAACAACAAGTACAGTCACTTTAAACGTACTTTGGCATGATCTCCGCAATATATATACGCAAAACACAAAGCATATACACGCATATACATGAATATATATGCTGTGTGTCTTGAGTATGTGCGTGCATTCGTGAGTGTGTTTCCGTGCGTGTGTGCGTGTACTTGTGCGTGTGCCTGTATGAAAGTCGAGTTTCAGGATGCCAAGATTGCGGGTTTGTGTGGTGGAAGTAACGGCACTGGGCATGTAACCGCCTTGTACCGGTAGCGCCTTGCCACCAGACAGCACCTGGCGGGGATTACTGCCGCTCTATTCTCGTACAACTGGTACTCCCCAGTGCGAGCTAGTTGAGTGTCAGTTTAATTATCTCGTCGTTCGTAAATTCACCTTATTTATTTGTATTAATTGTGTATATATTCATTTCTTGATAATTTTTAATTCATACTAGTAATGGTTTTATTTTGAATGTGATATCGTGCCTATTGCGTATCAGCTTTGCAACTGCGACTTAAAATGTTTCTTAGAGTAGACCGTCAACTGTTCCTATTTTCATAATGCATATTTCTTTCTCACCGCCCCTCTTCCTCTCTTGTCATCCTCTTTGTCCCCCTCTCTCTTCTCTGTGTGTGTCTCTATTGTCTGTCTGTCTCTCTAACTGTGTCCTTTTCCTCTCTCTCTCTCCGTGTGTGTTTATGTCTCTCCCTCTCCCATCTTGTGTTACCCCCCTCTCTCACTTCCCTTCTCTGTCACTCTCTCCTCGCTCTCTTCCCTCTCTGTCCCTCCCTCCCTCTGTCTGTCTCCTCCCTCTCCCTCCGACTCTCTCTCTCATTCCTCCTCCTCCACTCTCTCTTCCTCCTCTCCCTCCTCTCCTCCACCCTCTCTCTCCCACTCAACGTCTCTCTCCTCCTGCCCTCTCTCTCCCACTCCCCGTCTCTCTCCTCCTCCTCCCTCTCTCGCCCACTCCCCGTCTCCCTCCTCCTCCTCCTCCCTCTCTCTCCCATTCCCCGTCTCTCTCCTCCTCCTGCCCTCTCTCGCCCACTCCCCGTGTCTCTCCTCCTCCTGCCCTCTCTCTCCCACTCCCCGTGTCTCTCCCCCTCCTGCCCTCTCTCTCCCACTCCCCGTCTCTCTCCTCCTCCTGCCCTCTCTCTCCCGCTCCCCGTCTCTCTCTCCTCCTCCCCTCCTCCTCCACCTCCCCTTTCTCTTTCTCCTCACCCTCCTCTCCCCCTCTCTTTTCTCTCCCACTCCCCGTCTCTCTCTCTCCACTTCATCCTACATATCCCTATCTTTCTACTCTCCTCCTGCCCTCTCTCTCCCCTCCACCTCCCCTCTCTCCCACTCCCCGTATCTCTCTCTCTCTCGTCCCTCTCCTCCTCCACCTACCTCTCTCTTTCTCCTCTCCCTCCTCTCCACCTCCCCTCTCTCTCCCACTCCACCTCTATCTCTCCTCTTCCTCATCTCCCCTCTCTCTCCCACTCTACATCTATCTCTCCTCTTCCTCCACCTCCCTTCTCTCTCCAAATCCACATCTATATCTATCTCTCCGCTTCCTCCACCTCCCCTCTCTCTCCCACTCCACATCTATCTCTCCTCCTCATCCACATCCCTCTCTCTTTCTCCTCTCCCGCCTCTCCTCCTCCCCTCTCCCTCCTACCCCCCCCCCCCCCCCCCCCCCTCCCTCCCTCTTTCTTCCTGTCTCGCTATACTTTGTTCATATCACGGCATGTAAGCCATAGATATGTGTACCCTACTTACACACGTGAGTCCCAAAGAGGGACAGGTCAGCCGAAATTGCCAGGGCAGAAGGCGACCACTGAAACACTTACAGCAACAACAGCTGTAATGTAAGCCTAATGTGCTTAAAGTCCCACTGCTGAGTTAATAAACCAAAACACACTTCTATCGTCACCTATAATTCTAACGGGTACATTGTTTATCATGGTATTCTCTCCCTGACCTTGTACGTGTGCACCGACCGTGTGTAACGTTTAAACTTCTACATACGAGCTACGCGAGTCCCGACAATTACTAATCACCATCAAGCGTATGTGATGGAGAATCAGAGCAAAGGTAGACCCGGGGTTAATGAGTAGGGTATACAATAAACAGCACCATCATCAACAACATACACACGTGATGATGACCGCATCAGGTGTGACAGCCGAGTTCCCCTCTGCTGCTCGCTGTAGGTAGCCAGTTATCTATGGGCCATAAAGTCGCTGCTATATTTGCCTACATGCATTATTGACATGGGAATCTGGGGTTTCGTGAAATCAACCAAAGCATGAAGTCTGAGAAGATGAGGCGGCACATGAAATATTAATCCTACACACTCAGTTCAAGGCCTATTTACACCTTCATTGCTTGTAAACAATACAGTCACGTGATGTGTGTCTTGTGCCTGATTCGCTACAACACTATACGTGCTGTGAGTGATTCATCGGCGATTCTGATCAGCTGATTGTAGCGTACTATGACTAAATAGACGTACTATTTTCACACTGTCCTGGAGTTGTATGGGAACAGTCATACGGAAAACATTCAGCGATTTGAAAACAACTAGCATTCGGTTGACAATGGCGGAATGTTGACATACAATTACACTACACATGGGTAAACCGCATCTATGTTTGTTTAGAGCTCGGATGACTAAGTGTACTTTTAAATCTAGACCTCGCGTGACTTTTATTCATGTATAAACACATACGATAATATATTTATATATGCACTCTAGGCGTATTAGTTGTTCTGCGGTTGGATAGTCAAGTGATTAAAACGTTCGTTCTACGGTTTGATAGTCAAGTGCGTTCGTTCTGTGGTTTGATGCTCGTTTCCAGCTTGTTTGTTGTTTAACGCCGCACTGCCTATGACGTGTTACATGGCGTGATAATAACACACGACATCGAGTTGTTCCATGCAGATTATGTAGAGAGAACAGTCATCATACGAGGGACTGTACTTGAGTGAGTGAGTGAGTGAGTGAGTGAGTGAGTGAGTGAGTGAGTTGAACACAACCTTAAGCAGTTTCTCCTAATTTTAATATTTGTTTATTTCTTTGTTGTTTAACTCAGCAATATTCCATCTATATGACGGCGGTCTGTAAATAATCAAATTTGGAACAGGCAATCCAGTCTTTGACATCATGAGCATCAATCTACGCAATTTGGGATACGATGACATGCATCAACCAAGTCAGCGAGCCTGACCAACCGGTCCCGGTAGTCGCCTTTTACGGCAAGCATGGGCTATTCTCTACCCGGATCTTCACGGGTTACCCCCGTCTAGGTGAAATAAGGGTCAAAGTAGCGTGTTGGCCAAAGGAACACAGTTCCTGGAACCAGTGCCCTTAACTACCAGAGTCCCTTCCTCCATCGACAACAGGGGTGCTGAGGGGTGCTGAGGGGTGCTGAGGGGTGCTGAGGACACATTCTACCACGGGTCCCCACTTAAAAACTTTCTTTCTACAGTTTGATAGTCAAGTGCTTAAAGCTTTGGTTCTACAGTTTGATAGTCAAGTGCTTAATGCTTTGGTTCTACAGTTTGATAGTCAAGTGCTTAAAGCTTTCGTTCTACAGTTTGATAGTCAAGTGTTTAAAGCTTTGGTTCTACAGCTTGATAGTCAAGTGCTTAAAGCTTTCGTTCTACAGTTTGATAGTCAAGTGCTTAATGCTTTCGTTCTACAGTTTGATAGTCAAGTGCTTAATGCTTTGGTTCTACAGTTTGATAGTCAAATGCTTAAAGCTTTCGTTCTACAGTTTGATAGGCAAGTGCTTAAAGCTTTCGTTCTACAGTTTGATAGTCAAGTGCTTAATGCTTTGGTTCTACAGTTTGATAGTCAAGTGCTTAAAGCTTTGGTTCTACAGTTTGATAGTCAAGTGCTTAAAGCTTTCGTTTTACAGTTTGATAGTCAAGTGCTTAAAGCTTTCGTTCTACAGTTTGATAGTCAAGTGGTTAAAGCTTTCGTTTTACAGTTTGATAGTCAAGTGCTTAAAGCTTTCGTTCTACAGTTTGATGGTCAAGTGCTTAAAGCTTTCGTTCCACAGTTTGATAGTCAAGTGGTTAAAGCTTTCGTCTTACAGTTTGATAGTCAAGTGCTTAAAGCTTTCGTTTTACAGTTTGATAGTCAAGTCCCTAAAGCTTTCGTTTTACAGTTTGATAGTCAAGTGCTTAAAGCTTTCGTTTTACAGTTTGATAGTCAAGTGCTTAATGCTTTGGTTCTACAGTTTGATAGTCAAGTGCTTAATGCTTTGGTTCTACAGTTTAATAGTCAAGTGCTTAAAGCTTTCGTTCTACAGTGTGATAGTCAAGTGCTTAAAGCTTTCGTTCTACAGTGTGATAGTCACGTGCTTAATGCTTTGGTTCTACAGTTTGATAGTCAAGTGGTTAAAGCTTTCGTTCTACAGTTTGATAGTCAAGTGCTTAATGCTTTGGTTCTACAGTTTGATAGTCAAGTGCTTAATGCTTTGGTTCTACAGTTTGATAGTCAAGTGCTTAAAGCTTTCGTTCTACAGTTTGATAGTCAAGTGCCTAATGCTTTAGTTCTACAGTTTGATAGTCAAGTGCTTAAAGCTTTCGTTTTACAGTTTGATAGTCAAGTGCTTAATGCTTTGGTTCTACAGTTTGATAGTCAAGTGCTCAAAGCTTTGGTTCTACAGTTTGATAGTCAAGTGCTTAATGCTTTGGTTCTACAGTTTGATAGTCAAGTGCTTAATGCTTTCGTTCTACAGTTTGATAGTCAAGTGGTTAAAGCTTTCGTTTTACAGTTTGATAGTCAAGTGCTTAATGCTTTGGTTCTACAGTTTGATAGTCAAGTGCTTAAAGCTTTCGTTCTACAGTTTGATAGTCAAGTGCTTAAAGCTTTCGTTCTACAGTATTATTGCTAAAAGTGGCCTAACATTATACTCACAGACTCACTGACTCACTGAATTGTTATTCTCGTAACTGGTTTACATGACTGTATTAATAGTTACGCTGACCAAAGTCATTTAAGATCTGCATTTTGTTGCCCATATACTGTAAATTGTGTAGTGGGTCACTACCATGGACACATACATGGCATCTATTTGGACAGATAAGACGAGACAATCAAGTGGGGATCGAACACAGAACAGTCCGGAGTGCTCTCCCTTGTTCTGATCCAGTGAAAGGGTCGATCAAACTTCTGCAACTATGTTCTATGTATGTTGAACTCTATGTATGTACTGTATACTTGTAAGTAACTATATCTTCATCCTCATCTTGACGTCAACAACCGAGCAGTTAACCGACTTTGACAGTTCTAATATAGCGTTGCTATTTGAAGAATAGAGCGACGACGCTCACATTAAAGAGAAAAGTGACTCCGGTTGCATTTGTATGGTTGTATGGTGGAATATAATAAAAAATTGAATCAATTCATATCCAAAATTGGACATCAACATTGCAACATTACTCGGAATAGAGAGTATAATAATGGCGTGCAAAAACCTCATCGTTGACATCCTTCGTGCGCGCAACCTCATCAGTGACATCCTTCGGGGTCACATTAAAACAAGCACGTGGAATATGTCAAGAACTTTGTTAATTGTTTTTGTAGATAAATGTAATGTTTATTTATTTCAACTCTTTGTGTGGTCACAACCCCCCCCCCCCCCCTCCCCCCCCTCCCCCACCCACCTCTCCCGCCCCCACACTACCACCAATTCGACTCCTAGTTATGTTTTCCTGTTCAGTGGAAGTGACAGCAGTGTCAGTATCAGTGACAGCGGTGTCAATAACAGTGACAGTTGTGTCAATAGAAATAACAATAGTGTCAACAGCAGTGACAGTGGTGTCAGTGGATGTGACAGTGGTGGTACGCGCAATGGAATCTGTTTCGTCGGATAATCGAGACTGGTTAATCTCTGGGGTTGATGTTTTATATATTTTGTCAGTGGAAGTGTCAGTGGTGTCAGTAGAACTGGTTGGCCCAATGGGAGACTGGTTATTCTCTCGTGATGACGTTTTACATATTTTGGCAACCCGGACGCCTTTTCCAATTGAATGGTGTTGTGATTATCGAGGCCTCAATGTAGAGAGTCAAATATATACTCTGCAAAAAGAAGAAACACAAAAGAAGTAAACTCGACAATATCTGACAGAGTGTTGCGGATATCCATTCATTGAATACCAAATATGAATTGGTCACATCTGCATGGATCGGCATTGATTTGTGTGGGAAAAATGAGGTACTGAAGAAATTGTAAAAATATCGCAAAAAAACAACAACACAACTACGTGAGAGCCTGGCACCGAAACATGACATGTACGTGCAACGTGACCTGTTGGGCTATGAAAACGTTGGGTTTCATTTGCACGCCATCACAATCTTACAGCAAGTGAACAGCGAAAACATGCCACGACTGACGGAAGCCCAACGCAACAACGCAAATGGGCGACTGCATACAGGGGAACCATCTTCGGTCGTTGCCAGGACAACACGTAACTTTTCCAGATCCGGTCGACCACGTATCACTACTAGAGCACAGGGCAGATTCAAAAGACTCCGTCAATTACGTGAAAGAATCACTACGGCCACCTCTACAACCACAACAATACCAGGA